ACAACATCTCGAAAATGACGTAAGAGTGTAACGTGGACGTAATCACATAAAATAGAATTTGGTAGTGGAACATCGAGAAGTTTTTCTAAAATACTTTTGCCGAGATGACCAAAGATATTTTTCCCTTAATTCTCGGCTAATGCTGAATCGGAAACAAACGATTCTCGTGTACGAACATCTATTGGTTGTGTATATGGGTACTGGCGTTTACGACAACGTTTATCATGAACACCTTTAAGTTTGCAATAAAAGCAGCAATAATACCCTGTGTGTCCGATCATGTTCAGAATTATTTTCAGGGCGGGGCAATCACCAATAACGCCATAGCAAATGATATTGTATTCTGCTGATGGTAATGATGGATTAGGTGATTCAGCTCGAAAAACTAAATTAAAAAAGGGAGTTTTCACACAGGTACTCACTAAATTCAAAAACCAGATATAACCGAAGAAAAGTAGCAGTCGATCACTATACTTGTTGGTAGTCACAAAAAGTATTCAGTCAAAATTTGTTTTCAAGTTTTCACATTAACGAACGAAAATACATCACCCACTAAATACTTGACGATCACCCGATGTTTTTTCGAAGATAGACATGCAGAAAATGTTCCACAATTTCTGCATGACTATTTAACGTGAATTTTCTGAAGTGCCCAATCGGTTACGTTCTTATCTATCTCTTGTTTCTAGAGCTGTTAATTGATCAATACGTTATTAAAATTATTACTATGATGATCAAAAAACACATTTAAAAAAAGTGGATTAAGAAAAAGGTGAATCATTACTCTTCAGTTTGGTCACAGGTCTAATTTTTACGGACCCCTGAAAGAACAAGTGATTTTTTCCTATTAACAAAAAAGGTGATCTTGTCAGCATTTTCTGTGTTTTCCCAAATCGGACACCAGAAACAGAAACACAAGGTAACATTTTCTTCTAATTAACAGAAACGTTACTCAGGTTATAGCTTCCAATGATATCGGATAGCTAGCAAGCCGGGCCAATATACAAAGTAGTTAGTGCGTTTCCAACGTGTAATGAAGTAAGCCGAATCTTTCTCGATTCCCGTACTTTCTTCTTACATACGTTCAAGTCAGAACCCAAATTTTCACGAATGTGCAATAGTTAAAAAGGTAAAAAGCAATGGTAATCATACCATCTTGTTTAATGAATTTTAACATATCAAAACAGGAACTTAGCCATAATTTCACATCTGGTTCCGTGTGACCAATATAAATCGATAATAATGGCATATTGTGCCTTCTGGATCGGATGTTGGGTGGTAATTCGATTATTGCTGCACTACATAACCACATCTTCAAATTTGTAGATTTAACTAAACCGATACCATCAAGGTGAATCAATAAACTTAATAAATTTTGTTTATTTCGTTGTTTTAAAAGCTGTTGATAAATTTGTCCAAATGGGATGTCATAATGCTCTACTTCATTTGGATTTAGTGTTGAGATTTGTTGTTTATATTGGTGAATTTCTATCGCTAATCTTGATATAATTACTGATAATAGTGCTGGAAAATTTGTATCATAAATCTGAGCTGTATGTTTAGCTTCAGCTGTTGGACATTTATCACATATAGTTTCTTTGTTGTTAAGCAGTTTTTTACACAATATACAAACAGTGCGTTTGTAAAAATAATTTGTAATATTCAAGATTGTTAATAATTCATCCATCGTATCGGGCATTGCATTCGGTTGAGGTAAAATATTATTAATAAATGACAAAAAACGTTGCGCTTGATGTTTACTAATTTGTGAATCGCGTATTAATTGTAAGAATTCCATGCAAACATTATTTATTCCTAACATTGTATAAGAATGTAGTGGTTCGTTATTTATACGTGTTGTACAAATCTCGTTATTATCCTCATCATTACTGTTATCGTCTAATTAAGATAAAAAGAACATATTGCTGCGATTTTGCGGATAGTTTGTCCGCGTAAAGGGTGGTCCAGAAGTCCTGAAGCCACTTTTCTATTAAATTTTTATCTATATTGACTTGTGTTTAAAAATTTAATATTTAGCTCAAAAGATAGAGAATTTAATTCTCTAGGAAACTGTCGATTTTGTTTTGAAATTATTTTCAAAATTTCGGCAGAATATTCACGATATTAAAATATTCTGATTTTCTAAAACGACACAGAATAAACTTAACTTCTTTAGCAAAGCGTTGCTGATCTCTTAATTCAACTTACAGATAATTATTTTAACGTCAAAAGATGCAGAATTTTATGTTGTACAATCTGTCACTATTTGTGTTAAATGATACACTATTTTACGAGAAGGAAAGCCCTATTGACTGACTTATGCACAAAATCCATATTATTGGCGTTTTCCCCTCAAACTCAAAATTTAAAGCCATGCATTTTATATCAGAAGATGCAGAATTTCGCACTTTACAAGATCACATACACCAGAAAATAAAATGCTAAATGTAATTTTAAAAGTGTAAAATAATATTAGGTGCTAGTAAAGATGGATCCTCCTAAACTCCTTTAAAACTTTCATGAGAAACTCTTTCGAGAGCCACCTCGACTTAGAAGGATTTTGCTTTGCCACATGAAGTATGGAACTTTGTACAGAATTTCTCGCTGAATTTAATGGTGTATTGTGTTTTGATTAATAAATCTTTTTTTAGTTGCTACGCTAAGATATACGCTAAGAATAACTTCAGTTCGATAGGCGATCAATTTTCATAACGTAACATTTTAGTATTTTTATTTACACAGCGATGATTCAAAATTAATTTCAAAATAAAATCGACAGTTTTCTAGAGAATTAAATTCTCTATCTTTTGAGCTAAATATTAAATTTTTAAACACAAGTCAATATAGATAGAAATTTAATAGAAAAGTGGCTTCACGACTTCTGGTCCACCATTTATATGTCCTGCGAAGTTAATAGTTAGTTTCGTCAAGGATACTCGCCCCGATGACCAGATTTGCCTCAAAAGACTAATATGGTGACAAAAAAGGGAGCCGTGATACAGAAAAAAACATACATGTTGAATTATTTTCAGCTGTATCAAATGTATCAATAAGATCAAAATCTATATCACTATCTTCCTCTTCCTCTTGGCATTGCGGTTCAGCTGTATCGTCTAGGTCGTACGTTTGAGCTAAATAAGGATCAATATCGAATGATGTTGCTGTAGAGTTAACATTTTGACTTGTAAATAAACTTTTTGTTGTGTTTATAGCAACAGTTTCTTCATTTTTATTTTGTTTATCAGACAGATTGTTATTTGATATTTTTGTATAATTATCAATGTTGAATGATTCTCGTTTATGCTGTTTATCATGTAATTTCTGATTTTTCAATCTTGTCATTTGTTTTTGACGACCGGCTTCAATATCTTCATCGATTAAATTATTAATATTCATTGCGTTATGTTTATGATCTACCTATCAGCATTTTGGCGAAACAATACAAAAAAGGAGAAAAATCTTTTAGGTACATTAGCTAGTACGTGATGAGTGTGTATCTGAAGTAATTGGATGAAAGAAGTGTACGTCGGGCTAGTCTTCTGAGAAGAGCTGCAGTTGATGGCTAGTAACGATATGGTGAAAAGTGTGTGGAAGATAACGGGCTATAGAAACTGGCACTTTTTAGCACCCTATATCGGTAACGGTATTCTTCTTTCTTTCCTTCTTCCTTAAGTATACTTATAATACAAATGTGTATTGCAGTCGAAGAACAGTTAGCTTTCTAGCTCTTTCATTAAATAAAAGGTTTTATTCACAATTTCTGTCAAACTTCCGAGTCTATTGAAGCTATCTATCTTGGTTGAATTTGTCATTACTCTAAGGGTCAGAGGTGCAGAATCTACCCATGAGATTGGAAAATTTCCCTCGACAGAAAAAGTTTTTCAAAAAATTCCCCGACATAATCCACGAACAGAATTTCTTTTTGCAATATATTTGCAAAAAGAACTTCCAATCTTTCAAAAAATTTCCCCAAATCAATAAGTCTTGCCCCGACAACCGTCGGAGCAAACAGGCAGATTCTGCAGCTCTGCTGAGGATGCTTCGAAAAGACTGAGTATATGTGTTTAATTTTTCCATCATTCGAAACATGGACAACCTCCGAGCATTACATATTTACTGGAATGAGCAGAAAGTTTCTCAGCGTTGACAGTAGAAGCGAGTTTCGTCTGAGGTTGTTCGACGGTCGAAAGAACTGTTGCAGTCTTGCCTACACTCTCAAAAGTTCCCTATGGATTGAAACGAACTTTCATGTTCTGATCATCCTTTTTATTTCTCTTCCTCATTGTGAAAAATAACAGTATCAAATTCCGTCTCATCGAAATGCTTAGCACTAACGCTTGCGCTCACACTCGTCCTCAAAAGAAGCAACTCATTCACCTGTAATCATAGGCATTCTAAAATTCTTCAAAAAAAACCAACAGTTTTGCACTGTCACACATGCATCTACAGAATACTGCGTTATCAAATGACCAAGCATGGCTGTGCGTGTGTGTTCGAAATAAATTTTTATCTTCAGCGACCAAGGTGAGAATAACAGAACGATACTTCATTGTAGTGTTTTTTTTTAGAGAGCAACATGAATTATAACCCAACATTCAGTGAGAATACTATTAGAACAATCAACAACTATCAATGGTGGCAGAGTCGTCGAATTAAACTAGTTATATCTGTTATTGTTCTCGCAATAGTCATCATTACCCTCTCACTGGTATTGAAATTTGTCATTCTTGCACCGAAGAAGTCGGAAACCACTACGGGTACTACCATCACCACTGCATCCACACCATCGATAACAACCGAATTATACTCAACAGCCACAACCACAACCACAACTCCTACTACCACAACCCCTACTACCACAACAACGTCGAATGAACAATCAGGTGAGTTGTACACTACCGATCTTCAACTCCTGACATGTTACTTTTCGGTCGAATGATTGTTAATGAGTGGTTAAATAGAGTGTAGGTGTTACTTTTTTGATTTTCTGTCTAGTCTGGCGGCAGGCTGGTAATCTGAATCATGCACGATATCGACATGCAGCATCCGTCTTAACCGATGGAAAAGTATTAGTTACTGGTGGATTTAGTGGTTCATATCAGCTAGATAGTGCTGAGCTATATGATCCAACTACAGACAACTGGACACTTACTGGCAACATGAATATTGAACGAGAACTGCACACAGCATCTTTATTGACAAATGGAAGAGTATTAGTTGTGGGTGGAGAATCAGCTCATGGTTATACAGATGTAGCTGAATTATATGATCCATCCACAGGTATGTGGACAGTTATTGCTACCATGCAGCAAGCACGTGCAGAACACACCGAAACTGTACTACCGAATGGGAAAGTGTTAGTTGCTGGCGGTTTCAATGGTGCTTCTCATCTAGATAACGCCGAATTGTACGATCCATCAACAGAAACATGGACTAACACTAGTGACATGAACGTTGGACGAGAACATCACACAGCATGTGTGCTAAAAGATGGAAGAGTGTTAGTGGCTGGTGGCGGTAATCATCCTTATGAAAACAGTGCTGAGCTGTATGATCCTTTGACCGAAATATGGTCATTTACGGGTAATATGACGACTGGGCGCGAAAGGCATACAGCAACTGTATTGGAAGATGGGAAAGTATTGGTGACTGGTGGAGCACATGATCAAATGAGTAGTGCTGAATTGTATGATCCAGCTACAGAAACATGGACAGCGATCAATGCGATGAAGCAGACACGATTTGATCATACAGCATCGGTGCTAGCAAATGGGAAAGTATTAATTGCTGGTGGATATATTGTTGATGTTCTTGATAGTGCTGAACTGTACGATCCATTCACAGAAAGTTGGATCGCAGCTGCAAACATGAATCATATTCGAACTGATCACGTAGCATTTGTATTAGCCAACGGAAAAGTCTTGGTTGCTGGCGGATATGATAATACGGCCATGAATGCCGCAGAACTCTATGAATTATTGTAAAAAAAGATTGAGTACCAAAACATCTTACTTCTCGTTAGAGATTCGATCATCCTCAATTCTCTTTATGGAGCAATTCAAGTGAAACACACAGCAGACTGACGAAGATACGAGATAATCGTGAGCCAGTCTTGGATTTGATGAATTTTGCCATCGTCTTTTAAGCGTTTTTCTTAATCGATCGATCTCTAATACACTGATCTCTTCTTCAATTGAATACTTGATAAAGGATCGAGCTAATACTTTTAAAGGGCCTCGTAGTGAAACCATTGTGTACAGGTCAGTTGCATCAGCCATGAAAAACATCGTTGTCATTTTAACATGACCATCAACAACAGCAATACCATTAATTAATGTTGTTTGACGAACGTAGGCATGCAGCGAACACGAAGGTTCATGAGGATGTGAACTGAGGAGCAGCCGCTGTGCTCGGATTTATCGTTTACAAGACTGATATAAGAAAAGTCAACTAAATATTCGATTGTATGGGCAAGAATATCGAGAGGACAAAACAAACATGAAGACTTGCATATTCTGTTGTACAAGTTAAATAAAACATGATCACTAATCGATTTCAAATAGGAAAAAACTCACGGCTTCGAAAGAAAGTACTAAGTAAACACAAACGTACAGTGGCTGTCAAAATTACACTATTTCTACCCTTGAACATTCTTTCATTTAGAGAAATCTTCGAAGCATATGTTGACAAAACTCGAATCAATATGCTGGTGGACCGGAACAGTCCCTGCAGCAAGTGTTTCGAGAAATGATCACTATAACTTGTGCCTACTTTTCTGTATCGACGCAACGCCATTCTTGTCTATAAAGAATGCTATGTTGATTTTTGCAGCTGCCATATGCTTGATATACGATCCTTTTCTGTTAAAAATAACAATTAAAACAAGTAACGTTCATCGGGTTCCGATTCACTCGTCCCCAGACTGTAGTTCTATACCACCTTTTGTTGCGTACTTTCGTTAAAACTAGCAGTATAGTCTTTTCGTGTTTATTCACACTTTGACAGAGTTTAGCTCTAGTTCTGGAAAACAAATTGACCTTTGTGATACAGTGGTGTCAATGAGTTGAAAAAGCTATGCGAGCTTGTCCACGCTTTCTTCGCTGTTTGCGGGATTGACGAGAGATTTCAAGTCTCAAACGATTTACTTCAGCACACACTGTCTAGCCTACTCTCTCGACCGCGAATCTTCTTCGAACGGTGTAGCTACGTAACCACGACCTGAAAAAACATAAAGACGATGAACCACTTTTCACTCATTGACATAAAATCAACGATCAACCAAGAGATGAATTGAGGTTTCTAAACCGTATTCTAGGCGGACAGAAAGGCAGCTCACTTTCGATTTTTGCTCAAATTTCCGCCTGAATGCCCACTGTGCAGCTGTGCCTGTAATAATTGAACCTTTAAAACGAGTTGACAGTGTACGTATTCTTCGAAGCCGTGATGATACATTTAAATCAATCTAATGTTTTGCTGTGAATTTAGAAATTTCGACAAACAGATTTTTAATTACCTGTTCACTTCGCAGATCTGTCATTTGAGAAATAGTAGATCGCATAAGAACACTAGCTTTTGAAAAGTCCAGTTGTTTTCCTGAAAATAAAATAAAGTACTTGGAGGTTATTTGGTTTTGCACTTCCCTCGGAAGTGCGACTCTATGTAGTACTTACCTTTCAAAACATCTGAGACAATCTTAATTATTCCAAATACATGCTGAACAAAGTAACAACGAAAATAGGCTCTTTAATTCCTAATGCAAGTCCCCTTGCTTTACTAGAATAGAGGTAAAACAAATGCGCATTTTTGTGAAAGTCCTTAAGCAATAACTTACCCAGATCTACCTTCTTCTTCTAATTCACTTAATGATTTCAACAACGCTTCGTAATTTACCAATCTAGAATTGATACTAGTCCACCTCGAATCCAACCGCGTTTCGGTCCAACGAATCAAAGAAGTAATAGGCGTTGAATCTAAGTCAAGAAAATGAAAAAACGTTTGACAAGAAGTGAAATTACGTAGATTGTCTCACCAATTTTCAAGTCTTTTTGTACTTTCTTAAATCGTTTATTTGTAACGCTTGATGATGAGAAGAAGTTATTGATCTTTGAAGCTACACTATAGAACTCGTGAAGATATGCAATATTCTTTGTTGTGTCGCAGATAACAAGATTCAAACGATGGCAAAAACAGCGCACGTAAATTGCGTCAGGCATATAATTTTCGCGAAGAATTTGTTGAACACCAGCTATTCTACCACTCATCACCGATGCTCTAGCAAAATGTTACACAGAATTTAGAAAATATTCTTTGACTAAATCATTGTCTTTTGTTTGATCAGCACACGTCACTTTGTCATCAACAACTCTTAAAACAACACTGAGCTGTTCAGAGCCTGAGATGTCTCGAGTTTCGTCGGCCGTAATACAAGACAAACGATTTCTAACCTTGAATAAGCAAAACAGACTGAAGAAGTCCCCTAGTCGACCGATCTTACGGCAATTCTGTAGAAATCTTATAAGAATCTTATATAAGGCAGTCGATGGAAATGCGTAATTTATTGATAAGATTCTTATACGAAGGAATATAAGAACCTTATAAGATTCCGAT